CCAAAGCAAGTTTTCAGGGGGTTAAACAATTCCTTCCCTCCACAGGCATCTACTTGAACTCTGGGACCCAAATTGAAAAGGACCAAACTGAAAAGTGGAAACACAAACCAGGGGAGTGAGGGTGGAGTTTATAAATTTCATGAGGCTTTAATTAATTGTCAGATAATTAGGGGTATGCATTGAATCTGGGACACTGGCTGGCATCTTGTTAGTACCATACATAGGCATAAATCCATCTTGCACATCTGCATGTCTCCCCCCCCCTTTTTTTTTTTTGGTTGTTTCAGAATTTCATATTCTCTTCCTCATTCTAACAACTAAAGCTCCCCCACACCTGGATTTACCATATAGCAGCTGTGTCTCCATCCCCCTGACAGCCATCTGGTTATGTCCTTATAGCCAGACATGAAATGATTGCATCATATGCTGATTTTAGACCTTGGTGGATCTCTGATGATGAAGTAATAAGTTCATGTCTGGGTGTGCGTCACAGCCAGATGTTTCTCTGCTTCTCCTCTCCCACAACAGGCACAGAATGGCTTCAGTGTCTCTGTGGTAAGTCTAGAGGGTGTAAACAGTCCAGCTGTAGACAGTTCTGTGCACCAAATTATTATGTTATGCTGTGCCTTATGAACTATGCGACTTCTCTGGGTTACAGCTTTTCACATGAGCATATAGAATTTCAGTCTTAGTTATTTTAAAATTCATATTATCTGATCGGCAGTAATTTCCATATGGTGGTCTGGGGAAAAAAAACATTCTGTATGATGGAATGGATGAGACTAAGGAGCATTGCAGACTGGCCTAAAGGGCTGGCCTGGGGGTGGAGTTGGGGCGGGGGAGTCACACGCCAGCTGCCCCAAACCCACCCCGATGCCGTCCTGACACCACATGCCTGTACTCTTAGGGTGGCCTTTTGCCTCTCTTTTGGGGGCGGCAAAAGGGAGGATCAGGGCCACACCGTGCAGTGGCCGTGGCCCCGATCCGTTGCTCCCAGGGGCAGCTCTGTGCCATCCCAAAAGGCGGGTCTGTAAAAGCCCAAAGTCATGCATTGACAACTTTGTCTGTGGAAGAACATCAAACAACTTTGAACAGAAATGGGCTCCATCTTTTCCTTCCTGAACCCCCTTTAAGTAAAGATATTGATTTCCACGAGCCAGTAGAGTGTAGTGGTTTGAGCATTTGACTACAACTCTGCAGAACAGGGTTTGAATCCCTGCTCAGCCATAGAAACCTTTTGGGCGATCTGGAGCAGGTCACACACACTCAGCCTCAGAAGAAGGCAATGACAAACCTCCTCTGATCAAGTCTTAGTAAGAAAACCCCATGATAGGTTTGCCTTAGGGTCACCATAAGTAAGAGATGACTTACACACAACAATTGGTCTCCTTCATAGTTACCCTTTATACAGCTGTTTCCAGTCTCTCTCTGCTTCGTCTATGGGAGCAATGGCTGAAACTATTCCCACTA